ACGTCGCCGCGCTTGAAGCCGCGCTTCAGCTCGCCCTTGGGCGCCGCGTGGACCTCCTTCCAATCTTCGGAATCCCAGTCCTTCTTGCCGACGCGGATCGCCAACACCTTGCCCGCGTAGGGCGCGAAGAGCCTCGAGTTGCGCGTCTCGATGGTCTTGGCGCCGTTGAGGAGCAACGCGGCGAAGGGCATGGCGAGGGAGACGCAGGGGACCGTCGCCGCGGCCCCGGCCGGCGGCCGCGGCGGCGCCGCCGCGTCCACGACCGCGCCGCGCGTGCCGGCCGCGTGGGCCGCGAGGCCCGCGGCGAAGCGCTCCGGGTCGAGGCCCTTGGGCGTGTGGACCGCTAAGCAGCCCAGCTCGGCGACGCGCGCGCAGTTGCCGTACTTGCCGTCGCGCGCGTCGTCGAAGAAGACCATATCAGCGAACGCGCAGCCGTAGCTCTTCGCGATGCGGCGCAGGTGCGTCTGCTTGTCGCCCGCGTAGATCTGGACGCCGCCGTCCTCGCAGCGGTCCTCGAGCGACCCGCCGCCGACCTTGACCTGCTTCAACAGCGCGAGCGAGTAGGCCGGGTTGCTGCTGCGCGACGCGACGGCGACGCGCAGGTCTTTGCCGAGGTCGTCGAGGACGCGCCGCGCGCCGGGGAGGACGCGCACGTCCTCGCCGAGGGTCGGCAACCAGCCCTCGGGCTTGCCCTTCAGAGTGTAGACCTCCGGCAGCCACACCGTGGCGTCGAGGTCGAGCACGACGACCGGCGCCTTCGCCATCGCTGCGACGATCTGCGACGTTCTTGCGTCGACTGAGATGCTTGTGTCGGCGGCGTCTGGCAAGAGCTTGAGCATACGTTGTCGGCGACTGAGGCGCGGAGAGCAAGGCAACAACAACAACTTAGATGTAAAAGGATATTGAAGTGAAAAATGAACATCGGAGGCAATATTGCAAACTTGACAGTGAACTTGACGAAGCTTTTGGCGCTCGCGAGTTGCAGCGATTCGGATGCGTCTCAAAAGTTTTATCAAGAACAAGCTGTCAACATGAGCGCCGGTTTAGCGCCGACGCCCGCCGCGCCGCCGCCTCTGGGCCTGCTCCCGCGCGGGTCGGGGCCGTCCCCGGGCGGCGCGGCGCCGCAGCCGCCCTTCCTGCTCCGGTCGCCCGCCTCGGACGATTTGAACTCGTGTGACGTAAGTGGCCTGGATACGGCGATGCCCGACGCCGCGCCCTACGTGAGCGTCATCGCCGCCGAGTTCCAGAAGCGCGGCCTGCGCATCGACACGGGCGCGAGCCTCAGCGGCCAGAAGCGGCGGGCCTCGCGCGAGCCGGGCAGCCCGCCCGGCGACGGCCGCGGGCCGCCCTCGGAGCCCGAGTCGCCGACGCTCGCCTTCGCCCGGGGCCTCGCGGCGGCGGCGCGCAAGCGGCAGACGCTCTCCCTCGCGGCGGACCACCGCGCGGCGCCGCCCCGCCTCCGGGCGCCCCCCGCGCCGCCGCCGCCGAAGCCGCAGCCGCTGCTGCGGCCGCAGCGGACGCTGCCCCTCGGCGACGCCAAGCACCGCCTCGCCGCGTCGCCGGCCCGGCGCGACCTGCCGAGGCAGCCGCCGTCGCCGCCCGTCCAGGACCGCGCGCGGCCGCCGCCGCGGCGCGCGGTCCTCGGCGAGGTCGAGTTCCTGCCCCTCAACGACGCGCCCGGTCGCGCGCCGCCGAGCCCGCCGTCGCCGTCGGCGTCGAGGTCCTGCCCCGCGAGCCCGACGGCGAGCCCGACGAAGGACGCGAGCCCGGCCGGCGGCGTCTCCCGCTTCGCCAAGGCCTTCGGCGCCGCCGCCAAGGACCTCCGGTCGCTCCGGCTCCGCCGCTTCTTCGACCTCGAGAACTCGGGCCTCGCGGAGCCCCACAGCGCCTGCGGCTCCGAGCCGTTGCCGAAGAAGGCCCACTCCGTCGACCACTCCAACGCCATCGAGCGCCGGCCCCTGCCCAAGAAGTCGAAGAGCTGCCCGCTCCTCCTCGACATCGCGAACATGGACGCGGCGCCCCAGCCCCCGCACTGGACGTTGCGCGCGCTCGCCATCGCGAGCTAGGTGGGCCGCGTAAGCGCGGCGAAACATCGACTTTTCTTCTGGGGCGGTTTAGATTGCCCCCAGACTAGTCGCGATGGATATACTTATCGATATCGACGTCAGGTATGTAACTTGAACTCTAAACTTGAAGTTACATTTTGATCGTTCCCGCGCGCGCGCGGCGATGGCTGCCCGCGTCTCTCTCGCTGAGATGGCAGCCAAAATAAACGGATTGCCTGCGAAGCGCCGCGTCGGCGCGCCGTATCCGAGCAGCTCCGACTCGGACGACTCGGACGAAGACGCGCCGCCGAAGGCGCCCAGTCCACCGGAAACTAGCGCGCAGCCCACTAGTTTTGAATCGAATCATTCCATTCCTGGCAAACCCAGCACTCCATGCGGGACCGAGCTCATGTGTGCCGAGCAAGCCCGCGCGGTGGACCGCGGCGCGGCGAGTGCGCCGCGCCGCGGTCACGCACCAAGCAGAACTCGTCATGACCAACGTCAAGTTCCGCGAGGGCGGCTACGGCACGGACTGGGTCGCGTTCGCTAAGCAGTAATAAAAACTATTAGCAGCCCGCGGGTTTTGGCGAGTGCCCAGTCATCCGTCCGTTTTGGAACGCGCCAACGCCGAGATCAACGGCGGCCACGTCGACGACCTCGAGTCGTTCAAGGCGCGCACGGCCAGCCGGCGCCTCAACCTAGCGACGGGCGCCGCGAACGTCCACTGGCAGCAGTGCGACGAGAACGCCGCGAACAAGGACACGTGCTCCTGGAGCCACCACAAGAAGAAGTGCAAGAGCAAGCGCAAGGCGTGCTCGTCGCTCGCCTCCAAGATGAAGTGCCACAAGTCCAAGTACCACAACTTCTGCAAGTGGAGCCACAAGAAGGACAAGTGCCGCAACGTCAAGTGCAAGGAGATCGACGCGAAGCGGGACTGCAAGAAGGGCTGCGAGTGGAAGAACAAGCAGTGCCAGAAGGAGCGCTCCGTCGACTCCGGCGTGTGCGTCCAGGACTTCTAGGGCGCGACCCGCGAGAACGCGGGCCCGCGGGCCCACCGCGGACCGGAGGGGGCGCGTCGGACGGCGCCGCGGGCCCATGCCCCGCGGCGAGCCGCAGACGCGCCGCTCCCTCCCCCCCCATCCCCT